TGTGTGTGTGTGTGTACACAGATGCTGAAAACATGAGCCTTTATGTAGGGGTCAAACAGAAGACAGGAGCCAATATTCCCAGAAACGGAGTGGTCAGATTTCCTTAAAGAATGTGCAGAGATTGTGTTTCTGGAGTTGAGGGCTCAAATTAAAAGCAAACAAAAATGCCACAAAACATATAACAATTTGTTTTTTGGAGGATTCGTGATTCTGAATTTGGATCCAGTTCTCTTAAATACACATTGAACTTCTCATAGCCATGGCTCTTCAAGTAGAATTGTATTATTAGAGACCTCATTTATAGCTGTTCAAAGAATTGGAGTGATCAATGCTTGACTTACTACTTGTGACTTAACTCTGCTGCTGCAAGTTGGCAATCAACAGAGATCCGGAGTAGAAAGACAGTTACATGAGACTAACCTGATCTCTCCAACTGGCTGAAAACATTTGTGGAAATAAAGACTTGTGTCTGCGGATTGATGTTTTTAGCAATGCCTTTCTTTGTGCCTTGGACATAGTGATTATCCAGTCTGGGGAAAGATAGTCCCATGAAGCTGGGATGCCATGAGCAACCCCCTCGCTGCGCCCCAGGTTGGTCCTGAGCCTGCCCTGGGTGGCTGAATGCGATGCTCCCAAACACTGTTGGAGGCGCTGTTATTCTCCTGGGGAATGTGAGTTCTAGCTGGGAGAGAAATTAATTATTGGAGGGCACACGTGGCTTGTTTGTCTGTGTTCCCTATTCTAAGCATTGGGATTATATGGGTGGGTGTACCGGGAAAGGCTTCTTGGAAGGGCGGTTCCATGAGTGGCTTTGATGCTAGGCAGCATCGTCTGTCTGCTGGAAAGTAGGACCTGACAGGAACAGAGGAGGGATGGGGACACTCCAGGGACCAGGCGAGTCTGCCAGGAGCTTAGCCAGGGTGTGTGTGTGTTAGGGTAGGGCTGGGTGGGGAAGCGTGTATGTGCCAGATGGCTTTTATCTACTTGCCTTTAAAAAACACACAACACAACCTTTTCCCCTTGAGGATTTTAGAAATCTGTGCCAAGGCCTGGGGAAGCTTGGTCATCAGGCTCTACTTATTTTAGTGATGGCCTAAGTTTCTTTCGTTCTGCTTTTCTCTTTCCTTCTTTTTTTTTCCTTCATGAAATCTTAAGTCCAATTTCTTTCTTCAGTCCCTAATTTTTTTTCCCTTTAATCAAACTTTTGGTGGCTGTTTTGAAGTAGGCATTGGGAACACTCCTCTTATGAGCATGAGCACATCTTAGTGGGAGACACAGCCCTCTGTGGCCTGCTCTGAAGAGGAGCGTGTGGCTGTCTGTGGGCACGTGTGGAGCCGGAGCCCTGCTTCATGGACCACACAGAAGGGCCAGAGCAGGCTTCCCAAAGATGGGAGACCTCAGCTGAATCGTGAAAGATGAGTGATGAGTTCTATTTAGCTATTAAAAAAAACAAAAAACAAAAAACACAACTCCTTTGGAAGACACCGTTCACACAGCCAGCCCCCTCCACCCCACCCAAGAGGCTGCTGGGAAAAATTGGAGTAGTGCTGCCAAAGACGTGTGTAGAGTCTTCCCCCACTGAAAAAGAAAAGAAAGAAGGCAACCTTTTTTTTTTTTTAATAAAAACATTTGCCAGAGATCATGGGTTTTGGCAGGTTGCGTTTTATAGAGTACAGCCTTTTAGTGTAAAATGAAGAGCATGTCAAGTTCAGTTGTATTTGTGTCATTGAAGCACATTTTATTTAACACCATTAAATGTAATCGCGGGAAGATCTCAGGCTTCCTTAATGCCTGGGGAGAAACACTGGGCTGGATACTTCGCATTTGTTTTATCGTTTAGTTTTCACAGCGACCCCCCGAGGTGTTATTTTGTGCGTATCATTGAGGAAGGAAGGAAGGCTCCGAGAATACATTGCTCAGCTTCACATAAACAGCAAGTGGTCGACCTGGGGTTTAAACCCAGGGGAGTTTGACATAGAAGCTCAGGAGTTTTCTTTTCTAGGGAAAAGAAAGAGTCTTGTCCGCAAATCAAATACAAATTTGCCTTGCCGATTGGAGACTTAACGATTACCTTAGGGCAGGTGAGGGAGTAAAGACCGAAAAAGCAATTAGCATGAAAGTGAGAGAAACAGGAGAGATCTGACCCACAGATCACTGCACTGAGGGTCCCGTTTGGTCCTGCTTCCACACCCTGCCTTAGCAGAGGATACAGGACAGCCAGCTCTCCGGGCCTCTTCTTTCGTTTTCTTTTTCTCCTTTGTAGTCTTCACTGTGGACACCACTCTATTGTTTTTTCATGAAACAGCTGGGCAGCAGAATGGCTGGAAACACTATCGTGGTCTCTTGTCAGGCCTTGGATTGAATCCCAGCACCAGCACAAGCCAAGGGGATTTGGATGTCTGTGGAGACCCAATTGCAAAATTATGACACACATAGCTGGGACTTTGCTCTTTCTTTCTTGCCCAGAAGCAGCTTGGGTTTAACTGAAATTGCAGCTTAGTCCCAAAAAGAGTAGAAGACATTTTGAAAGATTTGCCTGCTAACCTTTCAGTTCTAAGACTGTGACTTTCACAAGTGCTGGAACCTTGTCTGTCTTATTTTCTGCACCCCTCTGTGTCCAGAGCCAGGCCTGGATGTTGATTAGCTCAGTAGGGGTTGGAGAAACACCTACTCCAACAGTGGGGTGGTGACTGCATGCAGCGATGGCTGAGAATGCCCTGTGCACGGAATCCTGACCTGCAGGCCCACAATCCCTGCATCTGGAAGATTTGTGCAGTCATTTTTGGGGGTCTTATCACAAATCATAAAAGTGCTCCCAGTGATGATGGTGTTGCTACCATGGTTTGGACGGAAACGTGCCGCATGCTGGCTTAGACGTCTTCTATAGTGGGTCTCACTTTCTCAGTTTAACGGCATTCCTGCCAGACAGGCAATCTTGACACCCACTCCCTCGCTAGGGAGGGACCTGAAGCTCTAAGAGAGTGAGTACCTTCCTCCAAGGCCACACGGCTGGTAACAGGTGTTCTTACTGAGAAGGTGGACTCCATCAGACGGGATGTTTGGGCCTCTCTGCCTCCACCCTCTTCCCTCCGCATCCTCACTCTGCCTTCTGTTAAAATGGACGTGTCCTTCAACAGGAGAAGGAACACTTTGGAAACGCCTTCCTTTGCACCACTCCTCCTCCACCCATTCCGCTGCAGTCCCTCCACTTCCCTGTGGAGTCATGGCTCTCTCTTCCTCCCTCTCTCTCTGGGCTCATCTCCCTCCGTGGAGCTCTCTTCTTCTTCTCCTTGAGGGCTGTACTCTCCTGGTTTTCTGCCTGCTTTCCCGTGCCTTCTAGCTCAGCAACTTTTACCAGCCTCTCTCCTTCAACTCTACTAAACACTGCCGGGCTCCGGGTCCTTCTCCCTGATCTGTGTTCTATGTCTTGCCGTCTTCCCCGGTAAACTCATCTAGTCCAAGGTGGCGAGAATCATCTTTTTGCCAGCAACTCCCAGTTTATTTCTAGCTCTGACTGGAAGTTTGCTGTTGACTCCAAACTGGGTTCTCTCCACCCAGCCCATTTCTCTGCCCAGTCTTCCTCTGAGTAAATAGCACCACCCAGTTGCTAAGAATCCAGGAGCCACCTTGGAGTCAGCGGTTTCCCTTAAACCCCATGTGCAATCCAGCAGGGCCTGGCGATTCTCCCTCGGGCACCTCCTGACTCCCTTTCCGTCCTTCCGTCTTCACCTGGATCACTCCAGCCCGTGCTGCCACCTGCACAGCTACAGCCATGGCCTCTAATGGGTTTCCCTGTGCTTCGCTGTTGTGCCTGTGTAGTCATTTCTTCCCACAGCAACTAGAGTGCTTTCTGCAGCCTTGTAACGATTGCAGGCTGGTTGTGCCTCAGGCCCTGTCGCAGGGCAGTTAATCCTCAGAAGGTGGGTAGTGTTGCACCTGCGCTTTTCAGATGGGGAAGCTGAAGTGCAGAGCAGTGCATTGATTTGTCCAAGGCTGAAGCTGGGGTTAAACCCAGGCGGTAGGTCTTGAGTCAGTGCTCTTGAATCTGGTCCCTCATCTCCTTGAAATGCCCCCAGGGCCTGTCTTCTCCTGGGCCTGAAGGCTCCTACCTGCCCCCGCCTCATCTCCTACCACGTCCTCCCTCTCCCCTCCTGCCACTTTGCACTCTGGGTTGTTCGCAAGCTCTTCATATCCAGCACAGCGACTTTTCCCCAGCTGTTCCTGCTGCCCAGAGCCCTTCCCTGCCACTTGTTCGCACGGCTGGACGCTTCAACGTGGGTGCGTAAGGCCCCCAGGTCTCTTGATGTAAAGTAACCCCCCACCATCTTTTATTCTTTGAAGCACTTACTGTTGTCTCATGTTGCCGTCATTCTTTTGGTGACCTTCATTGTTCACGGCGATGTATAAATTCTATGGAATGAAACTCTATGCTGGCGGGAAATGTAGATGCATGTTCCACACCCTGTGTCAGTACCAGTGTTGACAGACGCTTGCTGAGTGGATGTGTGGGTGAGTGAACAAAGGAGTACCTGGCACCCTGGAACTCAGAGCCGGGTGCTGTTGAGCCTGTGAATTTCCCTACTGTGCCCTGTGCCTCTGTCTATACAATTCATGGTTCAAGCCTTTAAGTGTCTCTGCCTTTGGGCATACTCAAAAGGTGTCTGTCCTTTTTTGTAGGTGATCAAAGAAGCCTACAGTGGCTGTAGTGGGCCCATGGACTCAGAATGTCTTCCTCCACCCAGCTCCCCGGTGCATAAGGCAGACCTGGAGAAGGTAATGACGTTGTTCTTGCTGGGGATAGTCACCTCGCAGTGGATTTAGGTCTCCTTCAAAGTTTGATAACATTCTCTGAGAATTTCTGGTGGGCAGATCACGAGGTTAAGAGATCGAGACCATCCTGGCCAACATGGTGAAACCCCATCTCTACTAAAAATACAAAAAAATTAGTGGGTCATGGTAGCACACACCTGTGGTCCCAGCTCGGGAGGCTGAGGCAGGAGAATCACTTGAACCCAAGAGGCAGAGGTTGCAGTGAGCCGAGATTGCGCCACTGCACTCTGGCCTGGGCGACAGAGCAAGACTCTGTCTCAAAAAAAAAAAAGAAAAGAAAAAATGCAATCATGCTTCCCATCCTTTTAACTGCCTGCTTTGTGCTAAGCTTGAGGTAGTCATTTTACAGACTGTGTAGTTAGTTTTGTTGCTTCCAGCTGCAGATGAAGAAATGGGTTTAAAGCTGTGAGGGCCTTGTTCAAAGTCACATAGCTATTAAATGGCAGAGCTGAAGTCTGAAGGCAAGCCTGTATACTTCTGGAATGCAGCAGGCACTTCATAAATGTACTTTCCAGAGTTCTCCGCCTCCCTTTTCTTTGCATTCTTGTTGCTTGTTGGAAGGCAGAGGAGCATAGCAGTGGACGGGGATGGCCTGTCATCTGTACACCCCTTTTTGCCAGGAATATATAGAGCCCATCACTGTTCCACCACAGGCCCCGCTCTGACTGCACCGTGTTTGTCTAACTATGACTGATGTTGTTTCCTTGGCGACCCCTGGCTTCCTGCCATGAAACCTGCTGGCAGCTTGTGTCCCAGGGGCTTTCTGAGCCCTCCCTCTCTAGCCCCCTGCCAGTGCAGAGACAGAGATCCTTTTTTGTCTGTTCTTGTGTGAGTCAGGATTCTCCAGAGGAACAGAATTAATGGGATGTATGTATGTAGAAGCAGATTTATTATAAGGCATTGGTTCACATGCTTATGGAGCGTGCAAGTCTGAAATCTGCAGTGTGGGCCACAGCAGGAGACCCAGGAGAGCCGTTGGTGCGGCTGCAGCCTGCAGGAATTTAAGGAGAAATCACTGGCTCCGAGAGGCCAGTGGTTTTGTTCCATTGAGGCCCTCAACTGATTGGATGAGGCCCACCCACATTATAGAAGGCAAGCTGTTTACTCAGAGCTCCCTAATTCAATTGTTAATCTAATCCCCAAGTGCCCCCCATATTGACACATAAAAGTAACCATCGCAGTCCTCATCCTGATAATGAATGGAACAGGCTGTTTTTCCCCGGACTTTAAAATCAATATCTGCTCACTTCAGAAAATTGAGAAAGCATAGAGGAACATAAAAGGGATGAAAAAAGTCATTCATTGCCACAACACATAGAGGGTGCAGTTCCTCTTAACGCTCTTGCTATATTAACTCCTTTTTTCCCTGAGTTTATGGGTTTCTTTTATGGTTTGGAGAATCTTAGGCATAAAATTTCTTATACTGCTTTTTTTCACTTAACTTTGTATTACTAGCAAATTTCCAGGTTTTTAACAACCTTAAGCCACACACATTTTTACATTTTCATTAGCTTAATGTCAAATTCGTATGACTCTACTATCACTTACATAGCTGCCTGCATTAGCTATTTTGTCCTTTTATGGGCCGTCTAAAATAAAATGGTGCTTGACATCTTTTGCATAGTTTTTGCTGATTCTCTGCCTATTACTTGAGAATAGATTTCTGGAAGCTGAATTATTAGACCAAAGACCTCTTTTTCTTTTTTTAAGACTTTGATTCATGTTGAAAATCAAATTGTTTTCCCAAAAGATTGGTGCGATTTTATTTCCCATCATAGGGCATCCAAGCTCCTCGTCCACGCACTCACGCCAGAACTGGTGATTCCGCCGTACTTCTGTTGCCTTCTGAGGCAGTACTGTGAGCACGTGGCTGGACCTGTTGCCCTGGATTCCTGGGATGTCCCTGGGGTGACAGCCAGAGCGGTGCCGGTGTCGGCCATTATATCACCGGAACTCAGCTTCCCACTAAGTGGTGCTCATTCTTTCACGGCAGCTCTTACGGGATTGCCTCTCGAGTTCCAAGTTGAACAGGCGTGTTCCTTTGTGCCTGGGAACTGCTACACATCTCCTCTGTGTCCAGGTGGCCAGTCTCCACGGCCCTGGGGTGGAAGGCACAGGATCTGAGGACGGTCTTTGGAGGCTGCTCCCTCCTCTGTGACCCCACAGGTGCTTGGGTGGCAGTGGAAGGAGTCTAGCGCAAACACTGGACCTCATTCAGCTGCTAACGTGGAACCCTACTTACGCTCATTAAGTCCGGAGGTTTGGACGGAGGCAGTGACAGTACCCCAGCCCTCTCTGTAGGTTTTGACAGTAACCTTGCCCCCACCCTGTGTCCATTCTGAGTGTACCTGTTACAAACAAATGCCTGACACTCACCCAATTAATTATTGGTGAATGACAGGAAGAAATTAAATGGACTACGGAATATTTACTTCTGCAAGGATAGTATGGCTTGGTGAGAGTAATATTTTTTGTAATCATAATATTTTTTCAAAATCATTTACAGGAAGTGATTTAAATGAAATAGGCATGAGACAATATATATATAGGCTAGTATAATTATAGCCTCAGTGAGTTTTTCTTGTTTTGTTTTGTTTTTCCCTTTTTTTTCTTCCTTTGGATGTTTTTAAAGCGGTTGTAGCCACCTCGCCAGCCTGTCTTTGTTATGGCTAAGCTCTAACTACTTCTGGATTGCTATGAACTTGGCCCATGTTTTCTTTCGCTTTTGAGATAACTTTTGGTTGATCCATCACACATCACTTGGTCCAAGTGACCCCCGTAAGAATAACTTCATCCTTTTTATCCTTTCAGAAACTGTCTTCAGAGAGACCCAGCTCAGATGGGGAGGGTGTGGTGGAAAATGGAATTACCACATGCAATGGAAAGGAGCAAGGTGAGTTCTGTCTGTGCCAAAAATACACAAACTTAAAAAAAAAACCACAGCCAGGTTTGCAAAGTCTGGTCGTACAAAAGATGTCCGGGGTGATTGCGATGTGTAGATTTCGTCGCCATTGCAGATGATACTGATGGGAGTACCCGGAAAACCCGTAACGTCAGCCCTGCGGATCTCCTTTTTCCATCCTGCCAGACTTTGACCGAGGCTGCTCCGTCTTTTTCTGCCCTGCATGTGTTTTGAACTTACGACTCACAACAGGTTATTTCTTCACTTGATCTATCACGGAGACAAATTTGCATTGGGGAGTAGCCGGCATGTTGCTTAGGGACCTGGTGTCCAGTGAAAAGAACTTTGGATAATGAAGCAAGAAACCCACTTTCTCATCAAGCTCTGTCTTTGCTTAGCCATATGATCTTGAGCGAATATTCCCTCTTAATAAGCCTCAGTTTCCCCATCTTTAAAATGAGGAGGCCAGACCTGAAGATTTCTGAGATTCTTAAAAAAGATTTTCTGAAAATGTCTTTATTTTGCCTTCATTTAAAAATTGTTTGTTTGTTTTTTGAGACAGAGTCTTGCCCTGTCACCCAGGCTGGAGTGCAGTGGTGTGATCTCGGCTTACTGCAACCTCTGCCTCCTGGGTTCCAATGATTCTTCTGTCTCAGCCTCCTGAGTAGCTGGGATTATAGGCATGCACCACCATGCCCAGCTCATTTTTGTATTTTTAGTAGAGATGGGGTTTCGCCATTTTGGCCAGGCTGGTCTCGAACTCGTGACCTCAGGTGATCCACCCGCCTTGGCCTCCCAAGGTGCTGGAATTACAAGCATGAGCCACTGTGCCTGGCCTCATTTAAAAATTTTTAAAGATTATACATAATATAAAAAATACATAATGTAAAATTTACCATATTTACCATGTTTCAGTGTACAGCTCAGTGTGTTAAGTATATTTATGTTGTACCATCATCACCACTAGTCTTCAGAACTCTTCATTTTATAAAAGTGAAGCTCTTTTAAACACTCACTCCCCATTCCCTCCTCCCCCAGTCCCTGGCACCCCATTCTACTTCCTGTCTCATGAGTCTGACTGCTCCAGGGACCTCACTGAAGTGGAATCCTACAGGCCGTGTTCTTCTATAAGTGCTTATTCCACTTAGTTTCAAGTGTTCAAGGTTCACCTGTGATGTGGCATGTGTCAGAATTTCTTTCCTTTTTAAGGCTGAATAATATTCCATTGTATAGACGGACTGCATTTTGTTGATGAACACGTGGGTGGCTTCCGCCTTTTGGTTAGTGTGAATAATGGCGCTGTGAACATGGGTGTGCAGATAATGAAGTCTCCCTTATGTTTTGCACCCAGCTTTATGGAGATAGAAACTACATGCAGTGACATTCACCCTGTTTGACATAGTGTTCTGTGAGCTTTGACAACACTGACAAGCACGTAACCATCACCACAATCAAGATATGGAGCGTGGCTCTAACGCCAGCCCCCACCGTGTTCCTGTGCTCTTTTCTATACCGTCTGCCTGGGCCTCTACCCCGGGCCTTGGCAGCTGCTGATCTGTTTCCTGTTCTTTACCAGAATGTCGTAATGTGGAAGCATCTTGTTTGCAGACCTTTGAGTCTGGCTTCGCTCACTCCACATGCTGCGCTGGAGAGCCATCCGTGTTTGTGGCAGGTGTCAGCAGTTGGTTCTTTGCTGCTGCTGACGGCATTCCATTGTGTAGATGGACCGCAGTTAGTCCATTCACTGCTTGAAGAACATTTGAGCCATTCCCACTTTGGGGCGATTGTTTAGAAATCTGTTCTGTGTATCAGAGACAGGTTTTCGCATGGACACGTTTTCACTTCCCTTGGGTAAAATAGCTGGGAGTGGGCGCTTGGTACAGCCTCGGTATTCCCACTTTTGTTTTGCTCTTTCTATTGTAGCCATTTTAACAGGGGTGTAGTGGTATGCGATTGTGTTTTAATTTGCATTTCCCTAATAACTAACAATGGTGAACATTTTTTTAATGTGCTTATGTGCCATCAGCATAACTTCTTTGGTGAAATGTCTCTTCAACTCTTTTATTCATATTTTTATTGGATTATTTGTGCTTATTGAGTTTTGAGAGTTCTTTGTATTTTCTCATACAAGTCCTTTATCAGATGTGTTTCGTACATACATTCTCCCAATCTGTGGCTGGACTTGTAATTTCCTTAGCAGTGTGTGGATGGAGGTGAAGGGCATGGCTTGCGGGTGGGGTGGGAGTGTTCCCTCTGCAAAGCCGGACGGCCTGTGTGCTCACTGAACCTGTGACCTTGGTGGCTCAGCTGAGGAATCTGACCACCCGAGCCCAACTGCCCACTCATGGGGTGAACCGAATGTTTCCTGTCTCTGTGATGAGATCACTTTCAGCCAAGTAGCCATCCAGCCCACTAAGAACCTTGGAGCTCAAATAATCTGGACTGTTGTGACATTACAGAGTTCACTCTCAGAGGTCACGATGCCACTTTTTTCATATGTGGTTTTCCGAGTCTGTCCTATCTGAGTGTAATTTCGGTTCTATCCATCGGAAGTTTTTCAGTGGAAAGTATTATCTGTGTCTTCCACAGGGCACACATTATGTGTAATCAAAACCAGGAAAGCTCTCTTTAAGTTTTGCCCTGAAATAAAATAACATACAATCTCAATGTTCCTACTTAGAAGTCGAGGCTCAGCAGACGTTGGTTTGGTCGGTCCATGTTCTGGTTTGCTGTTTCTTCTCCCAAAGCACCTATTAGGTTCTGCAGAATAATATGTGTGTCTGGAGGTCCTGGTAAGCAGAGTATCTATATTTAACATTTTCCTGCTCCCTCTGAGCAAGAGCAACCTTCTATACTTTGGAATTAAATGGTGGTGACCTTGGTTTACACATTTCCTTTTTGTCTGGCATGGTGCTTTGCATACAGTAGACACTCAGTAGTTACTGGAGAAAGTTAAGGTTTAAGTATATTCTAACCTTCTTCCTTAGCTTTTATTCTTGCCGCTCACTCTTGACCAGTTTGCAGCTGAGAGATTTCAGTTAAGCTCCTTTTACCCCAGCCTTGTTGTAACTCAGACACATTTTTCTGCTGGCTGCGTAGAGAAAATCCTGAACTCATACAGGTTTTTCTTAGTGTTAGAATCTCAGCTGAACAAAGAAACAGTCCAGGCTCCATGTGGTCAAAGCTACAGGGAACGACTCTGGAACTCCTGTTTCTTCTGTCTAATAAACCAACGCAATGTGGCTGATCCTATTGATCCCGCAGCAGGTGTGAGGAGTGCGGGCCGAGGGGGTCCTGGGACCGTCTGCATGGGAGCTGTGAGACTCCTCAGCCCCACTTCACATCCGTAAGAGGCAATCATTTGTGAATGTGTCTGTTGGTAGAAGTCCCTGAATAAATAGTCTGATGGTATTGATTCTCATGGCCCTCTACTCCTCCCAGTAGCCTACATTTTATAAAGCGCCTGAATGCCCATTCCCGTAGGATACTGGGAAACTGTGGGTTTATGATACTTGCGGCTTTAGAGAGCGCCCGCATTAGCCCTGCTCCAGTGGTGTGTGCCAGAGCCTGCCCACCTCACTAGCCAGCATGTGCCTGGGCACTCCAGCTCTCTACTCTCCAGCTGCAGGGGATTCAAAGTTGAGTGTTTAGTTTTTCTTCCCGGTTCTGTGATCTGTGCTCACCTCTGCCTTTTGTTCTGATACATAGCATCAAGTTGTTCTTGACGGTTTTATCCTCGTGTTCCCATATACTTGGACTTTTTCTTCCAAGGATTACCTTACTTCTGCTTTTGTAAAAAACGACTCAGGGAGTATTCAAGGAATTCCAAGTTTTCGTTATAATCTCATTTCTTTCTAGTCAGAGTTTAGCAAGCACTTTGTCGGCCGAATTGGGCTTTCATCTGAAACGCCGGCTTGCTGCGGTGGGTGTCATTGTCTGTGGGGATGCCTCTTGCTCCACCAGCCTTCCTCAGGGTGCCCCGGGCACTCAGGCTGTCCTGGCCAACAGGACCTTCTTCATAAAGCTCACCGGAATGAGGCTGCAGTGAGACATCATCCTCCGGGTCTTCAGAAACAGCTGGGAGGGACCGTCCACTGTTGCTGTCCCTCTTGGTTTGGTGGGAGTGACACTGAAGTGATACAGCCGTCCCAGCTGTGCGCCTCTCTGTCTGATGGTGGCTGGGAGAAGCCGTGCCCTGAGACTCAGGGATTGAAAGCGAGGCTCGGTGCTTTATTTCAAAAGGGGGTGTGTGTGTTGGGAGAGTGGAAAGTGGGATGGGGGCGGCATTCCTGGGTTCTTTGTTTCTCATATCACATGAGGCCTAAGTCTGATTTGTTTAAAATGACACAGAAATGCTGGGGCTGTGTTGTAATAGTCAGCTTGGGCTGCCATCACAGAATCCCACTGACTGGGCGGCTGAAACAGCACGTATTTAGACGGTCCTCGAGGCTGGAGTCCGAGACCCGGGTGCCACCAGCGTTGGTGCTATGAGGGCTGTCTTCCTCAAAGGTGGCTTCTCCCACGGCCTTCACCCGGCCTTCCTGCTGTGCTTGTGCAGCCGCTTTGTAGAAGGACACGAATGCTACAGGCCCAGGACCTCACGGGAGGCTGGAGCGTGGGAGGGCAAGGCACGAGGCAGGAGACCCGGGGGTGTGTTCTGCCGCCCTCATGCGTTTGGCTGTGGTGGGGGCAGCAGGGTGGAGGTAGAAGGACGACTTCCCACCCCCGTCAGAGAGGATAAGGAGACTGCACGTGTGAGTGTGTGCATGTATAGAGGAAGGGTTTAGGAGTTAGGCCAGGGCGTGTCCTCCTGTGTCCCTGGCCTCTCTGCCTCTGCACTTCTTCCGTGTGATATGTGCAGGTGTTCATTTGTCCATGGGGCGGGGGTGGGAGGGAGTCCTTGACTTTCATCACCTTCTGAAAGGGCCTGTGAGCTCCAAAGGCTTGCAGACAGCAGGTTGAGGGATTCACATTGGAGATGAAGGGGAAAGGGTCTGGGCAGTGGGGTTTAGGCCATGACACTGAGCATCTCTCTGTCCCCACAACTCTGTGAGCCCCACAGTGCAGCTGTGTTCCGAGTGTCTGCATGTCCCCTCATCTCCAATGTAACCTGCAGTGTAGTTGTGTCCTAAGCACCTGTGTCCTGAGCGCCTCGCTGGCCTCCCTCAGTTCCAGTCCCAGGCACATAATGGCCCTGGGGAGATGAGATGGGCAGACAGCCCACCTTCTCCGAGGGCTGCTCTCTGGCCCAGAGGGTCTTGTCATTTGGTTCTGGCACTTTCTCACATGCACATTCTGATTTGGTGCCTGATGTGTCCCTGTAATTCTGTGGGCGGTCACAGACAGAGCCTGCGGGGATGGAGAGAGATGCCAGCGACAGGATGGGGCAGATACAGAGTGCCAGCTGGCAACTGATCCTGGGCCTCTGTGGTGGGAGACGGTGGGGTGATGAGAACCTCCATGTGGTCCTTGTCACAAGCTTCCTATGAGCAGCCCTGTGTTCTGCTGGAATCCCAGCATCTAGACCAACAGCCAGCATATAGCAAGTGCTGATTAACTAAAAGTCGAGGGAAAGGCTAGGTATGGGGGCTCATACCTGTAATCCCAGCACTTTGGGAGGCCAAGGTGGGTGGACCAGTGGATCCCAGGAGTTTGAGACCAGCCTGGACAATATGGCAAAACCCCTTTTCTACAAAAAGTAAAAAAAATTAACCAGGTGTAGTGGCATGCACCTGTGGTCCCAGCTACTCCAGAGGCTGAGGTGGGAGGATCCGTTGTGCCTAGGAGTTCAAGGCCGCAGTGAGCTGTGATCACAACACTGCACTCCAGCATGGGAGCCAGAGCGAGACCCTGTCTTTAAAAAAAGAAAAAATCTTTCTAGGGAAAGAAGAGGTGGGTTGTGATTTATGTTTTTGTTTTTCAATTAATATCTACAATTAAAACATGCTTTTGTTGTTGTTGTTCTTGACAGTGAAGAGGAAGAAAAGTTCCAAATCAGAGGCCAAGGGCACTGTGTCGAAAGTCACTGGGAAAAAAATCACCAAGATCATCAGTCTGGGGAAGAAAAAGCCATCCACAGACGAGCAGACCTCCTCAGCTGAGGAAGATGTTCCCACGTGCGGTAAGGCTCGCCTGCCCGAGAGGAGCGGTGCCCACCCACGTGGGGGTTACTTTTTCCCACGGTGCAGTCTGTACCACGTTCATCCAAGGCTCCTTAATTCAAGCTGTTTTGCATTGGACTTGGACTCATTCACATTGGGGAAATGTATTAAATGTTTACATTTTTACCTCTTATTCATACGATACTTTGCAGGAGTTTGAGATGATCTCTAAGGTTCTTTTAAGGAAAAAAAAATTCCCTTTGATCTTCTGAAGTTCTCCCAAATCCCTTGGAAGTGTTTTGAAAGGTGAGCATATGCGGGGGCTGTTGGTAAACAAAGGAGTATGAGAAGAACTTTCTAGAATTAAGGTCAGGTCTTTCCCTTTGGCACAGTGATAAAACTCAGCTCTCTATATTACTGTGCTAGTCACTTTCATGTTGCTGCAAAGGAATGCCTTTGCAAAGGAATGAGGCTAATTTGCAGAGAGAGGTTTCTTTGGCTCACGGTTCTGCAGGCTATGTAAGCACGGTGCCAGCATCTGCTCAGCTTGTGATGAGGCCTCAGGAAGCTTTTACTCCTGGCAGGGACAGAGGGGGAGCTGGTATGTCACATGGCAGGAGAGAGAGAGGAGCAGGAGAGAGGGGAGCAGGTGCCAGGGTCCTTTAACCATCAGATCTCGCAGGAACTACTCATGTGAGAACTCACTCACTACTACAGGGAAGGCTGCAGGCCATCGATGAGGGACCCGCTCCCGCAGGCACCACCCACCAGGCCCGCCTCCCACGCTGGGGACCACATTTCAACATGAGATTTAGAAGGGAGAAATATCCAAACTAAACCATTTATATTTCTCAAACCTCAGTTTCAAATCTGGTCTAACACACTGACTGTCTCCCTGATCAGTCTTTCATCCAGGAAGTCCTCTTGAGCGGCACCATTTGGTGACCACAATAGCCCTGGCCTCCCATGGCTTCCAGTCTGGTAACAAAAGATATGAACAAGAGCAGTTACCACTGAGAGATGTTTGTAATAACTGGGTCTGGTTGGCGATAGGAGGGAAAATGAGGCAATGAGAGGATGATAGGAACCTCAGTGGGCTGGGGGACCCAGCACTGTGGGGTGGCCTCCATGGAGACATGGGTGAGTTTACATCCAGAATGCTTTCTAGGCGGTCAAGTTCAGAAGCACCATGCAGCTCTTCCTAGGGGGGAAACTTAGCTGCCTTTTTGAAAAATTAGGAATGTGCTGGAATTTTCCTTGTGTACTACTGCTGCACATTCAGCTTCGCACAAGGTGAACCCATCATTCCTTCTATTTGATTAGTAATTCTAGTTACCCCCACCCCTTATTGAGCATCCATTATGTCCGAGGTATTGGATTTTATTTTGGGATGCAAAAGATACCTCATTGAGTTCCTGCCCAATAGTGCCTAAATTGGGCAATATACACTGAGATCAGTTTATTCCACAGAGTTCACGTCCCAGTGGTGTGAGCTCATGTGGCAAGGATGATAGAGGAGGGCCAAGGTGGTCAGGAGGAGGGCTTGATGGCAGGGCAGATGAGAGGAGCCTGTAGGCGAGAAGGTGTGCGCTGTCTGGGAAGGAAGACAGGCTAAGCCTGGGCTCCTCTGTGGCTTTCACAGTGTGATCTGGGAGGCAGCATCATACCGATTTCTGGTGGACACCATGAAGTTGGGCAGACAGCAGTGAAGGCCTCCTGGTTGAAGGAATCTCAAGAGGTGTTCTGTTGAAACAGCCGCTGTGGGGCTGACTTAGGAGGGATGGCCATCACCATAAGGGACCCGTGACTGAGGAGCCTGGTGCACTCCAAGCTCCCTGAACTGGGTCAAATGGCAGTTGAGTCACAGATGCAGGCCAGTTGGTGCTGATGGTTTTCCACTACCCCATCTTTCCTCCCTCTACGAGGCGAGAGCTGAAAGGCAGCCACCTTGCTGAAATGCTGTCAGCTGAAGCACAGCTGTAGCACAGAATGGGGAAAGTGAACCTGATGATGCCCCAGTGCTGGTCCCCGCTGACCTCTGCCTTTCTTGGAGCACATGGTAAGGCGGGACTGTCTCACATCAACCCTTGAGAGAGAGGGATGAGAAATAGAAGAGGGAATTGGCCAACAAGAAGGGAACTACTCTTTTGTGTTTGTTTTTTAAATGCTCTACCTCGGTGGAGGAAATAGAAATTCTTCCTTGAAAATCAATTTAACATTTCTATGAAAGGCAATTGAGAGACCTTGACCCAAACCCCTCCATTTACAAAGGAGAGCACTGAAGCTCAGAGAGGGTGCGTGGCTTGCTCGGAGCCACACAGCGAGCTGAGAGCAGAGACAGCCTCCGGCCCAACTCTGTGGGTTCCCTGTCCCACTGGCCTCCCTATCCCATCCCCCAAAGAACTGAACACTGCCGTGGCTCCTGCTAACTGCGTTTGTGCTGGTGCTGAGACGCTGCGGTAAACCCTCTTCTTGGGCACTTTCTTGGAAGCACTGTTGGTCACTCAGGGAGCAGGAGTACTGCATCCATAGCATCTAATTAGACACGTGTGGATTCCTATCAAACTGCTTAGTGGACAACTTTCGCCTCAGTGTTAACGGAACATCATCTATCTACAAGATTTGAAAGCTGTCATCTAGTTCTTTGCAGGGGAAAGGGGAAAGGGGAGGAGCTTTTAGAAAAATAAAGGGGCAACAGTGACCATTTTCAGTAATTTTAGTACAGCTGCAAAGTTTCAGGCAGAAAAAGTTGCTGGACAAAGGCCCGAGAGACTGAGCCTGCCAAGTTGAGTCTCCGCAGCTGCTTCTCTGCTCCAGGGGGATGAAGGGCTGGGCTAGACTGGCCGGAAGGGCAGTGTTGCTGAGCCCACAGGACAGAGCTCCCAGGAGCCACTGAAAGCAGAGTTCAAATCCCAGCCCCTCCGCACTGTGCAGCTGTGTCAGCCGGGCCCCTAAATGCAGGACAGAGCTGCTGTGAGGGCCTTGCTTGTGGAGGCAGGGGAGGGAAGGCTCTCTGCACGTGCTTCCTGGCTTCAGGAGAGGGCGGTGAGGATGGCAGCCTGGCTGGCCAGGGTCCGCCTAACCCTGCAACGCCTAGTGAGTGACGCATTCAGCATTGGGCAGCTCAGCCCAGCACACAGCCACGTAGGTAATACGATCTGAGACAGGCGCACAGACCCCTGACGAAACAAGTCCTGAGCGACTGTCACTTTATGAATTAAGCTGCTGTTACCAGGAAATGCATTTCCGTCTTCTCTGCTCCCCATCCCTATTTCGCCTGTTGGGAATGTGGTGCCTTCTGACTGGCTCACCTCGTTCTGTTTGGCGTCCCCGCCAGGCCACCAGATGGAACTTTTGAAATGTTAGACTAATTGTATCACATTCTGTGTTGACTAAAACCAAAGTGTCTCATTTATTGCCCAATTCGGGGTCTCTAAAATCCTGTCCCCACCTCATGTTTCTACCTTCTCCATGACTGGCTTAAGAACAGGCTCTGACTGGCTCCCTGCCTGTGTTCACCACAGCGTGCAGAGCTTGGCAGATGACGCCAGCTCAGTGAATACTTGCTGAATGCATGCATTCCTTTAAGCAAATTGCTTAACCTCTGGGAACCCTGGGCTCCTCCATCTGTGAAATAGGCTCAGTACTTAAATTCCTTGGTTTTCATAAAAACTGAGGGTAAAATACATGAAACACTGAGCTTAGTGCCCAGCCCCTAATTTATGATGGATAAACGGTCACTGTTATTACCCATGTGTTCCCCTGACGTGTTTTGTAGAAATTCCTCTAAGCGTACCAGACGTATCCGAGACACTGTACATGTAATGTTGGACAGATAGATCATGAGAAACGGAGAGGCTGAGAGAAAGGAAAGGCCCCAGCCTGCAAGTCGGAGGGCTTCATGGAGCCTGGGGAGCCTGAGCTGGCTCTGAGGAACTTACCAGGCATTCCCAGGTCCCTTCCAGCTGCAATGTTCTATGACGTTATGAAGCTTTCAATGGCAGGAGTTTTTAGTAGACATTCAGAAAAGTTATGTAGGTCTCAGTTGGTGTCATAATCCACCTCCACATAGCATGCACCTGGAGTCCCCGCTACTCGGGAGGCCGAGGAGAGAGGATCGCTTGATGCCAGTTCAAGACCAGCCTCAGCAACATAGCAAGGCCCCACCTCACAAAAAGAAATCAGACGATGTCTGATGAAAGGGCAGGAAGGCATTCTTAGTCCAAGAGTCACTGTGACAGGGCTTTGGTGTACCAGCTCCTCTGCCCCAGCCTCGTAGAGGACACTTTGCGAAGAGTGGAAAGGAGGCTTCTGGCTTTGGCAGGCCCGTGATGCTGCCAGCAGTCTCCTGACATGTGGTTTCTGCGAATGCTGCTTCTTGATGCCCCTCTTGCAGGCCCGTCTCCTCTCAGCTGATCATGAACAGATACTTGCTAAGATAAAACAAACAGTTACCTTGGGATATAATGCCTCTGAAAAGTGTTGAACCACACTTTTCATGCAACCACATGCAACCAAAGCGCAGGAGCCCCTCGGGCAGGCAGGCACTATCATTTCCCTTCCTAAAGAGAATAAATAAATGGAAACTTGGCCACGCTTCCAGCAGGCTTTGCCTGCCTGATCCTCTGCAGCTGACGGAATTTGAGAGCCACCTGGCACCAAGACCTGCGACGCCCCATATCCGGAACAGCTGACCGGGGAGGCTTTATATATGGTCCGCCTCCGCCTGTATTTTTTGCTTGTTTGTCTGTAAAGTTAGTTTTATATTTCTAGTGAAATCTCCTCATGCACTCTTGCCACAGTGTTGCAAGAAACTGCACTCTTTCTTTGGAATTTGCAGCAGAAATAGCTGAAAACTTTAAACAACACCCGAATTTAAAATTCAGTAACACCGTACCATAATATCATAAGTGGGATTCAAAAATAAAATCAGATGTATCAGGACCTGCCTTGGTAAGTAGTTTCTTGAGACACCCTGGTGAGCCGGGAAGCTCTCGCCTGCAACGCGTGCTGCAGGATCCAAGCTGGCCGGTCCTGGCTGCTCTCTGGCCCCACCTGGTGGTGGACGTTGCTCCAGCGTAAATGTGTTCCCGGGGATGACTTGGGGTCCTGGTCAGCATTCTCCCGATTGGGAGAATACTGGGAGGTGCAGAAGACACTCTGACTCTAGACACCTTAGATGAGGTGGTCTGCCATTTCCTGCATGGACTGTTCATGTTCCCTACCCAGGTAAATGCCCAAAATGCCTCTCTGTTTTGAGAGATGGGGACGGGGACTGGATGGGCTAGGGGCCGTTGCTGAACATGGACAAGTGACTGTGGAGCCCTGCTGATGTGAACAGGTCTGTTAAGCCTGGGGGATTTTTGGGGGGAAAAGGTGTTAAAAATCATGCTCTATATAAAATGTGAATCTGTCCAATATAATCATCCCTTTTGTGGCTGAAATGTCAAGAAATTCCTAGCATCTGGGGGCTTTGGGCCAGATTCTGCCAGGGAAGAAGACACCACGAGAATCCATGTCCCTCTTTGGGACTGGGTCCTCTGTGGTTGGGAATTGCTGCCCCACGGCACTGTAGGCGTCTGTCATTGGGTCACTGGCGTTTCAAATCTTGGGCTCCGTGAAGGGTTACTGAGTCCTGACTGCTCCAGAGCACGGGCCATTTCTCTTCCCTGTGCTTACCGCTTCCTTTCAGAAAACGTTTTTGGCCATGTTAACCTATGCACCTCAGTACGGGAAGTTATTTGAGAGGAGGCCTTGCCTTCCTTTTCCTTTTGGATACACCACCATGTTTGTCAACTCATGCTCCAGACATACTTAGGATTGATACGGTTGGCCATCGTTGCGTGAAAGTCTGAAAATGGAAAAATGTTGGCTTTCAGCGCGAGTGGTTTCTCTAGACAGTATCAGATCCATGGTGAGCACGAGGTTCCCAGCGCTGTTACTGGTTGCTCAGACATGATAGTTGACTCTCTTTTTAAGTAGAGCTTTCTTTTTTCTTGTTAAAGAATAAATGTATTGGAACCACATCATTTATAAATACCATTTTACAGAACAAAAATGATGGTGTAGGGCCCCAGTTGTATCCACGTTAACAGCTCTTTATCTGCCATTTTAACTCACAAGGGTGAGATCTGGCTTTGCTGTGTGGTCTGGTCTTGGACAAGATACTTCACAGTATCTGGGAGGTACCTTCCTCCTTAAAGCCTCTGAGACTCTTGCCAACTTTGATTCTGGAGCGTCTTCGCCTCCCTCCATCCCTCCTAAGTCTCTGAAGTACAAGGAGCTTGGATGAGCGTAGCTCGCTCTCTGAACACAAGAGGGCGGCCATAGCACCGGCCTCGGAGCCTCAGCCCGGCCTCTTTCTCCGTCACTCCTAAGTACAGCAGCCCACACCCTGGATGAAAGTTTTAGTTCGGGAGAAGCAGTGTGCATTTCTCTTCAGCGTGTGCTGGTAGAAATGACGTCACATTCAGCCAATGAAAATTTAGACTTTGTACCTAGTAAGCCATTGAGCCAGTATTTATAAGTAATAAAGCATCATTCTGGGTCCTGAACATACCTCTCTCTCTCTTTTTTTTTTTTTTTTTTGTCTTTGTAGCATTTATCCATTGCTAATAAGGTGTGTGAGACTGAGAACATAAAAGAAGTAAGAAACATCCTCCAAAACCCTTTTGGAAAGGCATTTTTATTAATGTTTTTAGCAACAGGATCTCACTGTTGCCCAGGCTGACCTTGAACTCCTGGCCTCAGGTGATCTTCCCGCCCAGCCTCCTAAGTAGCTGGGACTACAGCTAGTGCTCGACTTACGACCACAGTCGGGACCGCGGACCGGTCGTAACATGATTTGGTCGTAAGTTGAGTAGGCTATATGTACAGTTGAAATGGTGCACGCGGAGATGGTAGTGCTGCCGGAAGCTGGTCCGCACTGTCGTACGCCCAGCTGGGCAACATTTGCGCTGCCAGACGCAGGGCAGTTGTGGCTAGCGATTGTGGTCGTAAAGTCGAATGGTCATAAGTTGCATAGGTGGTAAGTCGATCGATACCTGTACTATTGGCTGGAAAAGGAATTTGAAAAATCAGAATTGGAAAGGATGTATTTTGTTTTACTTATTAATATTTTTAGGGCAGGAGTATATGTGTGTGTGCATGTGCAAACCGAAGGAGTACTGAGTGACTTCAGCCAGGGATCGTGTATCTCTTTTTCTCCCATTACTAATATTTTATATGCTGTTTAACTCACTTTCTAAATCTTAAAGGTGGGGCAGTAATTTACTAGCATTATGGTGTGGTTGGAAGGTGCAGCCACCCTGATAATCTTTTTTCATGTGTCGTTATTTCTAGAAGAATGCATTTTATGTTGGTAACAAGTGAAACTTGTCCATTTCCTGTATTTGAGGAGGATTTTATTTTAATGAGGAGAATAATTTTTCCTGTAATTCTGCCACTCGTCGATCTGTGGTGTACTGAAGATATTGTGCCATATCAGAGACACAGATCATGAAATGTCATGTGCATTCAGACCTGGGGTCTAGATTTCTCCTGGGCAGCCTCACCAGTCACTTTGCAGTTGCAGGAGCAGAAAGGTGGCAGGTGCGTCCTCGGCCTTGGGTGGGAATCTCTACCAGCTGGCCTGCTTCCAGCACTGGGAGCTTAGCGCCTCCCAGGGCCTCCTATTTCTTAGAAAGTTTTCATTTATGATAGTTTTTGTTTCCTCACGTTGAGTCCAAATCTGCCTGCCTATGACTCTTATCCTACTTGTATCATTGACAGCTCCTTAAAATAAACGAAATCCTTTTCCAGTTTGAAGACAGCTGTTGTGCCCCCATTTCCTTCTGGCCATCCAAAACCCACTGGCCTGCTAACTTATCATATGCTGTAGGTGAATTCCACAGTCCCACATCAACACTTCTAGACGCCTGGTAACTGGTTCTTTGTACATGTTAGATTAGGGGCTTCCAGACATGGTCTGTGTTGTGTGATGAAAGCCCCCAAAACTTGCGATGCTGTAGCCATGGTTCTCCTAGTTTATGTGAATTTGCATTTCAGGCCTGTTCGATCGTGTGAGAGATTTGTTTTGTCCACGGTCCCTTCCCTGGGCCTCCTTAGTGCAGCCTTAGACGGAGGCGGCTGACGTGTGGCCTTGTCTCCCTGCAGGCTATCTGAACGTGCTCTCCAACAGCCGCTGGCGGGAGCGCTGGTGCCGAGTGAAGGATAACAAGCTCATCTTCCACAAGGACAGGACCGACTTGAAGACCCACATTGTGTCTATCCCCCTCCGTGGCTGCGAGGTTATCCCAGGTTTGGATTCAAAACATCCTCTGACGTTCCGGCTGCTTCGCAACGGCCAGGAGGTGGCAGTGTTGGAGGTAGGGTGTTTTCCAGGGGCTGCACTCCACAGGGGACCCGCGTGGTGATATTCCTCTGAAAAGCGGACTGCTGGCTCCTCTATCAGAATTCCTCCTGTCTTGCTGACAGCAGCTGTTTTCGGCCCACCCCCTTTTCCCTCACTGCCCAGTCTGTGAGTCTTCGCTTTGCTTCTCGCCTCGGTCTTTCTTTCTGGGAGATGCAATAAAGCAGGGAGCCCAGCACCACTTTCTACCCAGCTGTCCACATCAGATTGGCTTGCCTCCTTGTCTGAGTTCCTCTGTATGCCTGTTTGCAAGGAAATTAAATACACAATCCCATAGAGTACGTTGCTTTTTTTTAAAGTACCTGGAAAATAACTTGTTTTAGAATTTCCAAGAAATCTCTTTCCCCCTGTGAGCTACCTTTGAAATGGTGGTAAATGTTTCCTTTGGAATGTTCTTGACTTCTTTACAGATGGAAGACTTTGTGGGGCCATCTGAATGCCCTAGAGATGGTGGCCAGTGAGCCTCGTGACACAGAAACCAAAAGAGCACCTTTGGGGTGTGGGAGCCCTGGACTTTGAGCACGCGGTGCTCTTTGTTTGGCTGCCTCACTAAAACTTCTTATTCATGAAAGCAGAAAAGACAGTTAAAACTCGTAGCTACATACCCAAAACTTTCACTATTGAAAGTTTTTCATTTTTCATCATAGAAAATGTTTTGTTGATGTTTCCTCCCCAGAATTAGACCTTTTTTCCTGTGGTTTTTTTTTTTTTCCCATTTATTTCTGTGTCGATTCCCCCACTTAGTGTTATTATGACTAAGATGCAAAGACACACACACACAGATCGATGCAGTCCCGGGCGTCAGATGGTAGTGTCCACGTCGGCGTCCTTATGCTACAGACTTGATAGAAACGAGTTCATGTGAGATGTGGTGCGTGGGCCGGTGTTGGTGGAAACTCACCCGGCGTGGAGCCTCCTCTAAACGCCTGTGCAGTGATGCTCATTGGCAGAGGAGAGAGTGCCCATGCTGCGACCAATCCACGGCTGCCCAGCCAGGCAACCCGAAGATCTCGAATTTCACACATAGGAGTTCATTTCAGGGACTGTTTTCACAGAGGCTGCTTTTTTTGGTGGGGATAAAAAGTAGGTTAACAATATCGCTTTCCCGCAGTGCTCAGGAGGTAAGGGACGGTCAGCAGCACGGGTTGCCAGCCCCATGGCTGGTTTTGCAGCAGTGTGGTCTAACAGAGAGGGTTGGGTTCCAGTCTTAGCTCTGTGCAGACTCTGATCACAGCCAAAGCTTTTGTTCTCTCGTGGCTTCTTTACTCACTGTAAAACATGAGTGCTGAGCAAGAGTCAGTGTACTTTGTAAACATTTATGTGGGCTGAAAACTGGAGGGTGGATGGCAGTGGAAAAAAGCTGAAAACTTCAATGAGGAAACTATACTCCTGATGTAACAATGCCAGTCTCCTGTGAGAGCTCTGGCAGCAGATCTGAGAAGGGCTGCAAGGGAAAGGAGGCACGAATTGGCACAGATTAGACACAGGAGTGAAGAGGAGGGTGCCGGGTGGGTGCCCAGACAGAGAAGCTCAGGATGGGGTGGGGTGGGGGGAAGTCGGGAGCTGTCTGGGGAAGAAGTCCCCGCCCTGCCATTGCTAGGGGACAGTAGCTGTGTCCCCAAGTCCTTTAGAGAAAGCGGTAGCTTTCATACCTTCAAAAATGCTTGTCCCACTGAGGAAGGTGCTTATTCTTGAGAGAGCTGAAGTGGGTAGACTCAGTTTCCTGAATGACATGCCAGCAAGAACTGGAAGTTTAACCAGTATCACTTCATCTGTGACAACTGTTTTCACAGCTGAAAAGTGACTTCACTTACACTTGACACATAGAAACATCTATAGCCTTCCAACATAAGCAAGAAGCCTGTCCTCCTCAGTGACGAAATGGTGTGAGCCAGCCAGTAGACTTACAATCTATACTTTTTCCTAGATTGTTTTATTTTAACTTTTGTTTTGAGATAATTTCAGAGTTACTGAAAAGTTGCAAGAATAGCACAAAGAATGCCTTTGTGCCCTTCACCCATATTCGCCAAAGACTAACCTGCCCACGCGTGCTGTCTCCCACACAGTCCTGCATGTGCACTTTCTTTCCCTGCACCCTTTCTCTCTCTGTATGTGTGTGTGTAGGAATTTTTTCAGAACCTTTTGCAGGTTTGCTGTCATTTTGTCCCTAAATACTTTGATGTATATTTGCTGAAAGCACCTTACCAGAAACACAGTGTAATGATCACAGTCAGGAAACTGACATGCATGCTATTCGCCGGTCTCATTCCTAGATCTTCATCAGATATTCCTGGTTATTTCTATAATGTGCTTTATGAGCAGAAGGAAATCCCAGACCATGTGCTATAGTCCCCTGCCTTGTCTCTTTAGCCTGCTCTGTCTGGCTTGACAGCATTGACACTTAGGAAGGAGGCTGCTCTTCTATAGAAGGCTCCCAGGTTTGGACACGTCTGCTGTTGCCTCTCCTTGGGATCCAGCAGACAATTTTAGCGGGAGCCCATTGGAGGTGGCGGCACGTTTTATGCTGCGTTACATCAGGAGTCCTACAGCGTCTGTGTGTCCTACTCATGATGTTGATGGATCCCTTGAGTAAGGTTTCCCCACTGTAAATTGGCTGCATGTTTTTTTTCTCAAATAAGTCTCATGTGGGAAGATGCTTTGAAACCATGTCACTATCCTGTTATTGTTCACAATTTCGCCCGCTAGTTCCAGCATCCATTAATGACTCTTGCCTGAAAAACAGTCATAATGACAGTTGCTAAATGGTGACTTTCTAATTCCGTTGTTCCTTCTGCGTTTATTAGCTAACATCTACGGTGAGACCATTTTCCTTTACTCCCATTTAATTATTCATTTGTTTAATTATTCATATGTATGTATGTATGTATGTATGTATGTATATCAGTGGGAATTTGTAGATTATTAGTATTATTTTTGAGAAAGGTTTCATTCTGTCACCCACCCTGGAGTGCGGTGGTGCAATCTCGGCTCACTGTAACCTCCACCTCCCAGGTTCAAGCAATTCTCCTGCCCCTGCCTTTTGAATAGCTGGGATTACAGGCGTGCCACTATAGCTGGCTAATTTTTGTATTTTTTTAGTAGAGACAGGGTTTCGCTGTGTTGGCCAGGCTGGTCTCAAACTCCTGACTTCAAATGATCCTCCTGCCTCAGCTTCCCAAAATGCTGGGATTGCAGGGGTGAGCCACTGTGCCTAGACCATAGATTATTATTTTAATCAGTGATTATATCCTTTATTGTCATGATTTATTCTGGTCAAACTATCACAGATTGAGTCAGCAGGAGACCCTTGGAGCTCGCTGTTTGTCCTTTGCCATGTCTCTGTAATAAAGAGATTACAGTCCCTCATGCTTAGAGCACTTTCTTTACTTTATGGCACAAGGAGATGCCCCAGGCTCATCTTGTACTTTTCTTGGCCCCAGACCTGGAGTCAGCTGTTCCTCCAAAGCACGCTATTCCTTTTGTTGGAGAATGGCGGGGAATTTAGAAACCAGGATCTGGGTGCTAGAGGCGCTCCCTTCTGCTGGCAGGTCATAGCTTCTGGGTCTTTTCCGTAGACAAACGCAGGAAACAGATGTGTGGGTGTGGATGTGGATATATACACGCACATTCACATGTTTATATGTTACACATATGACAGATACTTGTAAGCGTAGATATACGTGGATATACATATATATATGCATGCACCCATACACGTCTCCATGTCTATACCTATGTATGTATGAAAAGCCATGAGAACTAATACCTCCAACATCACAGCTTTATTTTTTAAAGGCTGATGAGGAAATTTCGTAAAATGAACTAGGAAGAAAACAATTGGTAAACTCTAATGTAACATATCAATTTCATCTTAGATATTAATTGTATTAAGGTATTGTTAAGATGCTTTGGTGAAATGGTTATAGTGGCATAGATATAGATTAATCATGGGTACATTCTTAATATAGGTTTTGTTTTAGGGAGGACATAAGACCTGTGAAGAGAACACATTTGTGACCTTTTTTTAAAATCCAAGTATTCGCCGGGCGCGGTGGCTCACGCCTGTAATCCCAGCACTTTGGGAGGCCGAGGCAGGTGGATCACGAGGTCAAGAGATCGAGACCATCCTGGTCAACACGGTGAAACCCCGTCTCTGCTAAAAA